ATGGTAAGTGGGCGCCATATTGGGTTGACGGACACCCCCCCCCCCCAAGTACAAGTACACAGCAAGCGAATACATGTGTTACTGTGTAATATATGGTAAGTGGGCGCCATATTGGGTTGACGGACACCCCCCCCCCCCAAGTACAAGTACACAGCAAGCGAATACATGTGTTACTGTGTAATATATGGTAAGTGGGCGCCATATTGGGTTGACGGACACCCCCCCCCCCCCAAGTACAAGTACGCGGCGAGCGAATACTAGCGTCGCTGCGTAATACGCGGAAAGAGGGCTCCCGTACGGGCTCCGCGGACGCCCCCGCCACCTCCGCCTGGTGGCCGGAGACGGGACGGCGTCCGGGAGACCCCTAACGGGTTAAACCCCGCCGGTCGCCGGGGGGGGGTCGTCGCCGGGGCGGGCCGCGGCGACGGCCGGAGGCCCGGGGACCGTCCCGGGACCGCCCGGGGGTCCGGCCATTTTACGAAGGTCGCGGGGGGGCGGAGCCGGGCCGGTTTGCGAACCGGCCGTCCGCCGGCAGCGTTTTATGCTGTCGGCGGGCTCCTGCCCTCCGAGCAGTACTGCTAGCATTGGTTAGTAAAGCACCCAGATATTGTTCTAAACTGTATTAAAGGGATAGTGGAAATCCGCGAATTTTGGGTTTAACTTATGTATTTTTATTAAAAATAAGCATAATAAACAATTTTTTTTAATTTCATGCGCCTAGTTTCATTTTATTTTCAATTTTACTGCGCCCTCTCAATGAAACGAAATACTTCGGGAATCGTCGGGAATCTTCGGGTGATGACGAGAGCATAGGAAGACGGGCACAAACAATGGCGGACATTCAATAGCATTTGCATGTGAATAGCCGACCTTTATTATGGTGAATAGATGTGTTTTGTATGGCTGTAGTGCGACAGCAAATGCAGAGAATGGCGTATCGACGCATGCGTTTCCAAGAAACCCAGCCATTCGTCGTCAGTGGGTGAAATTTGTTCAGATAACACGGGCAAACTTCACGGAGCCGAAGCTGACGAGTAATTCGGCAGTCGTGTGCTCCCGTCATTTTACTGACGATTGTTTCGAGATTCCTCGGTCTCTAGCTCAAATTGAAAGTGGAATACATAAGAAGTGTGTATTTTATTATGTTTTCTTGTTGATTTAATGCATCATTAGCCTGTACCATTTTGTACAACGCCATTTATCCGGTACACAGTGTCGAATGTGTACACTACAGTCATCATATAGACATGATAGACTAACAGTACTGTGAGTACAGCCTACACTTGACAGGCAGCCTGGCTAGCCTAGGATTAGTGATGACATTACATGTGTGGAATCTGTGGAGTCTCAGCTTTAAATCGTATATCTTGTTTGTGCAGTTAAGATAGTAATAAGGGCATTTCTACCGTGTGTTGTGTGTAAAAAAGCGTTAGCATTAGTTAGCATTGTTTCGCTCAATGCTAATTCAAAGGCTTGGTATTACTTTTGTGTTTTTTCTAGCTAACAATTGTTCTTATTGTCAGTTAGTGGAGTTTCTTACCTTTTAAAAGGGTATGAAACATTAATAGTTTCATAAATGTTAAGAAGCCCTGAGACATGTGAGAGAAAAAAAACTGTGGGAGGGGTCCACTGGGGGGACCTTCGGGCTTAACTGGTTAACAATGATTAATATTTGTAAAGGCTACAGGTGATCTTAAGATGCGTGAGCTATGCTTAGGGACCTACCAGTCAAGATTATTTGTGCGTAGGGGTGCATCATCTGGCGCCTGGTCCTGGTCATCCTCGCCATTGCCCATGCCGTGAACCATCACCTCGGGCTCGGGCTCGAACAAATAAGGACGTAATGGTCCATCGTCTGGCTCAATATTGTCACCATCGTCGCTTACTGAACCGGATTCAGATTCAGTTCCTAAAACGACATTTTCGTAGGAAAGCCGAGAGGATGTTTCTGACTCGCTATCATCACTGGATACCTCGTACAATCCTTCTTCTTTGTCTGGTATATTTGCCCTTCCACGTTCATTCTGCATAGACGCCATGGTTTGTTATCGTATCGTCTTCCTAAGTTTTCGTCACTTCCGGTTTGGCTGAGTCGAACATTTCGTTTCTAAAAAACTTCGGGGAAGCTGCAATAAAGTGCTTCTAACATGCGTAAGGCAATTATTATATTTTTTTAATCAGGTGTGATTGTTTTGGTACGCAATTATGCTTGTATATAAGTTAAAACGAAACTATTTGAGGTTCCATTTCCACTATCCCTTTAAAATAAACAGATATTATCTTGAACTGTATTGAAGTGAACATGTATTATTTGGGACTGTTTAAAGTAATCCTATATATATAAACCTTCTTACTTACACTCCATGACCCAGAGACCCTGAGACACACACATACACCTCCTGTCTCCATGCATAAACTCCTTAACCCAGATATCAACACATACGCCTCCGCTTATCAGCACACACACACACATACACTTCCCCTCACTAAACACACACACATGTTCTTTTTCCAAGGTTCTTGCTGGGGAGAATAATCCCAAGCACCAATATATCTGTGTACAATGTTTGATTGTTTTAAAAGAATAGTTTGTGTGAAACCTTCCCTGGGAAATTAAAGGAGTTGGGTCCGGTATAAGATAAAAAGTGATTCTGACCTTGTAATTCCGAGGCTCTCACGCTCTGTTCAGAAGAAAAATACTTTTTCCCAGAACTCTGATTCGCTGTATTGGGCCCGACCCAAAGTGAATCCAACCAGTAAGAACACCTAGGGGAGTGAGCAACCGACCCAAACTCCTCCCCACGGACTCTCTGATTCGCTTAGGAGTAAAATGGGACGGAAGAGCCGACACACATCTCCGCCCCAAATATGTCCATATATACTGTTGTTTCTTCATGCAAAATGCCCCCTGTTTCTGACTGGCTGGTCCCGATATCTGTATCGCACGGCAGTAGAGCGGGGAGCCCGGAGTGTTCTGTTTCAGGGCACTCTGTATTTCGTATTGTGTTTTTTACTGTATTAAAATCAGATTATTGTTATAACTTTTATGCCGGTGTTTTGAACTCCTTTTATTAAATCTGACCAGGCTCATCTAAAGGACGGCGCGGAGCAGAGGTGGGCTTTAAGCCACCACTATTGTGTTTGCTCCTACATTAGCTAGAATTTTGCTAATCAACTTTGTTTCATTAGGGATCAGTGACACAGGTCTGTAAGATGAGGCTTCCAGCTCATTCCGGCCCTTTTTCAAGATCAATGAAATATTTGCATTATAGAGCGTTTGAGGCAGTCGACCATTTGACGCTGCATGTTTAAACATACGCAGCAGCAGTGGGGATAGTTCCTTATAGAAGCACTTGTAAAATTCTATAGTGAATCCGTCAGGGCCAGGTGCCTTATTATTTGGAGATTCACTAATTGCTTTTATTATCTCTTCCATAGAGATGTCTTTGTCTAGATCCGCTATTGCTTCACCGTTGAGATGAGGCAAGTTCAGCTCAGAGAGAAATTACTTAATTGCATCTGTATCCCGATTACCATTGGACTTATACAGATTTGAATAGAATTCCATGAAACGTGCATTTATTTCTTTAGGGTCAGTGAGGACAGTGCCCATGTCTGATTTTATTCTCAGAATTGCCCGGGAGGCTTGTGCCTGTCTCAACTGTCGTGCCAGCAATTTCTGAGGTTTGTCTCCTAATTCAAATTGCGTCTGTTTAATTCTGTTCATCTGTTTACTAATCTGAGCGGATAAAATTGTGTTATATTCATCTCTTTGGGAAACTATAGAGTTTAATGTGTCGGGGTCTCCGGAGGCTCTGTATGAACGTTCTAGCTGAGACACACCTTCATCCAGCTCCACTAACCTCCTTTCTCTTTGTTTTCTCCTACCACCTACATAGGATATGATGCTGCCCCTAAGCACTGCTTTAATGGATTCCCATAATACTGAATCATCCACATCACCTGTATCGTTTGTAGCTATAATATCAGGCAGCCTATCCGACATATATTTTAGAAAACTTTTCTCTTTTAAAATTGTGTTATCGAATCTCCAGCTGTGTTCGCTTTTATGGTTGTTAAATCTGATATTGAGTGACATGGGAGCATAATCACTGATCAAGATGTTGTGGTATTGTGTAGTCGCTACACTAGAGATCAGCTTAGAATCCAACAACATGAAGTCAATCCTTGAATAGGATTTATGCACAGGAGAGAAAAAAGAATAATCTCTGGTAGTAGGGTTAAGTAGCCTCCAGATATCAACTAAATTTAGGTTATGCATAGTATTTTTGAAACAAAGTGTTGGGTTGCCCTTTTCCATGCCTTCCTTAACACCTATTATCCGAATGTTTTGTCGTCGAGAGCGCGAGACGAGGTCGTCCACCCGCCCGTTGAGCGACCTGGCTTCCTCAGCCCATCTTGAGCACTGGTCTTCCAAAGCTTTGATTCGGGTCTCGTGTTCGTTCAGTCCACCTTCGGTAGAAATTACTCTCTGTTCTACCTCGCCCAGTGACTGTTTCAGACCAGCTATGGAGGCATTGAGCAACTCGAACTTCGAGTTTACATTTTGATTTAGTTGATTGATAGCTGCCATGATGTCCGTCCTCGTCGGAGCCTCGTCCTGATCGCTGCTAGCATCCAGCCTGGTGCTAGCGCTAGCCTCGTCGCTAGTTTCATCAGTCGTAGTTTGTTTCTCTGCACTTTTGTTCTTTTGCGGTTTCCCCATGTCTCTGTTACGCTTCAACAGCTTATACTGCCGACTTTTGCATGCCTCTCACGAAGAAATGTATTGTTAAATTATATATTTGTTTGAGGAGGAAGCGGAGCCTCTCAAAAACGTGATTATTCCATATCCAGCCAAACCGGAAGTCTGATGGGACATTTTAATTGAAGTGAGTTGACATAAACACAGATTTATACAGATGATTGTTGAACTGTTCCTGTTTCTGAATCAGGTCAACTTAATGTTTCAAACCCTTTTTACCTGTCCAGGATAAGACCAGGTGAAGCTCACGTCCCCCTCCGGCTCCCCCAGCACTGTGCAGGTCACGTTGACGTTGTCTCCGCCTGTCACAGATTCCGGAGAGACTTCGAGGCTGACCAATGGTGCCCCGCTAGGAACTATAACAAGAAAACCAAACAATTATGTAGAAATGCATAAACATTTGTAAAGGAAAGCTTAGCATTTGAACACTTTAACCTCCATCTAGGGCCAGTTATTTGTGGGGAGGGGCTGGTCGCTGTGACGGCCTTGTCAGACAAAAACTCCTCACTACATTTCCATTTCATAAATTAACCTTGTAATTCTCCTCCCATACATCTGACTGTGTTTCCATTTAAAGGGGACATATCATGCTATATTTGAAACATATATTGTAGGGCCATACCTATATAAATATAGTTTTTTTTCAAAATACCAAACCGATCCTGCATTTTAGCCATGCCTCATTTTGCTCTATTTGCTCTTTCCAGCCCTGTTTTTGCAGGAGCCACGCCCCCCTGCAGGAGAGGGGAGCGTGCTTTGAGATCAGCTGCTGGGCTGTCAGAAGAGGGGGAGAAAAAGAGATCTCCGTCCTCCTTGTTTTATTCTTATAGAAGTAAGAAGAGAAGTAACGGGGCAGAAACCCTCATATTCAGTTGGCAGTTACTTTGGCATTAGGGCAGGGATATCTAGATACTTTCCAAGGTTTGACATAATGAATTGTGCTACTTTTAAAGCACGCAACGATGTTTTCAAATCTGTAATCAAAAAGCTCCTCAAAAACGCTATCGAAGCAGTTCCTCCGTTGCTACGTTAGTTCAAACAGTAACAACGGACTATTTTTCTTAGCGGATGCATGTCAATTTAAATCAATACATACAACTATTTTTTAAATCAATGAAATCATTTTCTAAATCCATAAAATCATTTAAATTAATATTGGGAGTCAAATCGTTACTTTGTTGAGAATGTGGCCATGTAATAAGCGGGATAATGTGCAGCGACTTGGTCATTATGGGGAAAAGAACACCGACAGGCTGATCAGGAGCCCGACGCGAAGCGGAGGGATCTAGATCGGCATAACATTAGCGGCATGACCGCGTCGCTGCACATTATCTCTTACATATGATTATATAGTCATTATTCATTTGTTTTAAAGTAGGTCATGCCGCTAATTGGACAGCCTTCTGGGGAAAACCTGGTCTGATTAAGAGAGACGGCATTCATCCTACTTTGGAAGGTGCAAATCTCATTTCAGCAAACATTTCAGGCAGGCCCGGCTCCAGGATGAAATGACTGAGGGGGCTGTTAAAAAATCAGAGGGGGCGACCTTTTTTTTCACAACTGTCACGGCCTGGCTCTTGGCCATAACAAAAACGTGGAATGGACGCGATATAAGGAAAGATATGTATTATTACCATTAAACTAAACAGAGCTACCACAATGGGATGTGTTAATCAGTAAGATCAGTAGTGTATGTGTGGGTGTGTGAACATGGTGTGGTTGTGCAAAGTGTTGAATGCCAAACTAAGGTGAAGGGAAACAAAATCATAAGTCAGGCAGCTGCTCTCCAAAACAGATCCTCCAACAGAGAGAGCAAGCAAGTACTTGGCTCAGGCCTTTCACTCCTCATGACCGTACTGACAGCCAGGTGCCCTCAATCAGTGCTGAACGTTAAAAGGACATACACACACACAACAGGTAAAGTAGGGGTCGTCACACAACAACCAAAAATACTGGCAATGTAATTCATTGACACACCAAGCTTTTTTTTAACAAGATAAATCTGCAGAATTGTATATTACCTTATTTCAGTAAAGTTGCAGCCTCCTTGTTTGCTTATTGAACTTTCTGAATAAGCGCTCCTTCCAGTCTTTTTCCCGAAATTGTTTTGTGAGATCCGCCTCACATGCCAATTGTCTCATGCAGGCTTTTCTCGGGTGCACATCCCCAGTAGAGCGGGCCATTTCAGACTGCAAAAAGTTTCGAGCTACAGCAAACTCAGATTCCACCATGGTTTTCATGAGCTCAAGCAGCGGTGTCACCTTCTGCACATCCAAAAAGTGAGGATTTTCTGGGTCAAGGGCACAAAGGGCTGTTTCGTTCAGAAAATCTCCTGTTAATTTCCCCAATGACACTGTCCAATGTGCTGAAGAAGAGCCGCTTGCACTCTGTCTCACTTCCTATGTCCCGCTGACCTATAGTACTCTCAACCACGTACTGCTTCAGGTGTAGGGACTTGGCGAGCTCTCTTCATTGGTGGAGGAGCCGCTGGTTCTGATGCATCAGCTGGGCTGCAAGTGGAACACTATGCCCAAATGGCTTGGAACTCCGAGTCACTCCGGAGATGCTCCACGCAATCCAACGCACTTTTAACAACCTTAACTCCAGTGTAGAGGTCTGTTTTTTTATCCTGCTAGACTTTGTTAGGAGGGTCCAGAAGGGCGAGGATTTTGTGGACCATAACCGCAGTAAACTTGAAGTGGGGCTCTTGAACTGCTTTTAGGAGGCCTGCTGCCTCTACTCTTAGTTGGGTGGGAAGGCCACTGCTGTCAATCTCCACAAGGAACTGCTCGACAGAATCATAACTGTTGACTATGACTGACACGGTACCTAGGTGACCGGTCCACCTTTGGTCCAATAACCTTTTCAGGCGTTGTCCTGTGTACACTGCGGACACAGTTGGTTTTTTCAGAAACCGATAAAGCATGTCACACACATCAAAAAATACTTGCAGAGTGTTCTCTGATGACATGGCATGAATAACCACCAGATGTAATTGGTGGTTGAAGCAATGCACATATGGGACTTCTCTCTCAACTTTCTCCTGCAGTATTTTCTGTACGCCTCCTCTTTTCCCTGACATCACACTTGCACCATCATAGCACTGGCTGTGGGTTTTGTCTGTTGTTACTGTAAGCCTGCCTTACTTAGCTCAGAAATGACAAGGTCTGTCAGACTTAGGGCACCACAATGCTTCGTAGTGGCCATTACCAGCAGTCTCTCAAAAATATCATTGTTCTTATTTAGATAACGGCCCACGATTGACACATTTTCACAACCTGTTGGATCCTTGGTCCCGTCCACCTTTAAAGTGTACCAGCGGTCTCCTATTTCTTCAACTATTTCACTGGTCACTATTTCACTCTTGAGCCCTATTATTTCGTTTTGAATGTCATGTGATGTGTATGTGGCATTTTTCGGAATAGTGCTGAATGCCTTTGCTAAGGCCGGGTCTTTCCTCAGTGTATATTCCATCATAGACAAAAACAGTCCACTTTCCACGTCTTCTCTTGACTCCACAGCATCCAACGTCCCCCTGAGCGGTTGCTGGTGTGACACAAGGAACTCAATGATGTCCACGATCGTACTTAAATATTGGCGATTTCTTGCCAGTTGCCCCTCATTAACAAGCATGGAGACCTCAGATCCTGTAGCACTAGGAGCACCATATTCGATCCAGAGAGCGTTGCATTTCAAATTTTCCTTGCTGGATGCATGTCTTGAAAAACCTTTGGTGATATCAGTTGCACATTTCCAATTACAGAAGCTGGTTTGTGTGAAGGCTTTGTCTGCATTAGCACTAAGCTTGGTCACCAGTCTGTCAGGGAGGATGGTATTGAATGCAGAGCTGAAGTCCACGAAGAGCATCCGTGCGTAGCTCCCCCTACTCTCCAGGTGAGACAGGGTAGAGTGGAGAGCTGTGGCGATGGCGTCCTCCGTGGACCTGTTGGCCCTGTAGGCGAACTGGTGGGGATCCAGACCGGGAAGGAGGGATGAGACGATGTGGGGACGGACCACCTTCTCAAAAACTTTAGCGGGGGTGGAGGTGAGTGCCACTGGACGGTAGTCATTTAGGCAGCTGATGTTGTTCTTTTTCGGCACCGGGATGATTGTGGATGTTTTCAGGCAGGATGGGACGATGGCCTGGGACAGGGACTGGTTGAAGATCTTGGTGAAGATCCCCGCCAGCTGGTCAGCGCAGTCTCTCAGCACCCGTCCCAAGACTCCGTCCGGCCCCGCTGCTTTCCTCGGGTTCACTGCCTTCAGTGTGCGTCTCACCTTGTGCTCCGTGAGGGTGAGGCTGCTGAGGGCAGGTGGATGTAATGGTGTGGCTGCTTCCGATAGCCCCTTCTCATAGCGGGCGTAGAAGGAGTTCAGCTCCTCCGCCAGCTGAGAGTCACCCCCGTCGGCCGAGGGGTGGCTGGGTTTTTTGTAGTTGGTCATCTGCTACACCCGCCTGGAGTCGTTGCCCCGGAAGCAGTCCTCAATCTTCCCCTTGTAGTCCATCTTGGCCCGCTTGATCCCCCGCTTCAGGTCGGCTCTGGCAGTGCTGTTCAGCTCCCTCTCACCAGTCCTGAAGGCAATGTCCCTCTCCCTGACCAGGCGCTGCACCTCTCCAGTCATCCACGGCTTCTTGTTGGGATGAACCCGGATGCGCTTATCCACAGTGACGGAGTCTGAACAGTGCTTGATGTATCCCAGGACCGCTGATGTGTACTGTTCCAGGTCCTCATGTTTGAAAAAACCCCAGTCGGTGTTCTCAAAACAGTCTTGCAGCTGTGGAGTGGCGTCTAAAGGCCAGGTTTTAATTGTCTTTATAGTGGTGGAAACACTTTTCCTGATGGGGGAGTATGCCGGAATTAGGAGAAGGGACACATGATCTGACTGGCCTAGGTGCGCTAGCGCTTTAGCTTTGTAGCCCCCCTTAATATTAGTGTAGACCTTGTCCAGTGTTTTATCCCCCCTCGTGGCACATTTAACATGCTGGTAGAGTCTGGGAAGCACTACCTTTAAGTTGGCATGGTTAAAGTCCCCCGCAATGATGTGGACAGCCTCAAGATACATGCTTTGTTGACTGCTAATAGTATCATGTAGCCAGGGGCGGCGCCAGGGGGTAGCTTGGAGTTGCTATAGCAACTCCAACAATTGACCTAGCAACGGCTTAGCAACCCCATTGTTTTGTTATGAAAATGCGTCTATATATATTTATACACATTCCGCGAGATCTATCAGGGGTCGTTGTAAGTTAAAGCGCAAACTGTTAGTTGGCTAATGTTGTTATAATTCTCAGTATGCGAACACAGATCGAAAATGGAAAGATTTCTCACAAGTCAGCGTAAACGACCGCGATCTCCAACGGAGCAGGACAAACGTGTGTGTGTGTGCGTGTGCGTGTGCGCGTGTGTGTGTTTTAATGTAAATATTAATGATAATATTGTAGCGTGTCCAAGTTAATAGTTATGTCAGTTATCAGATGTGCACAGTTTAGTACATTCGTAAAGTTATTTAGGCAATGTTGTTGGTGGGAGTTAGGGAGAGACCGCCCCTTCCAGGTGTGTGTGTGTGTGTTTTCCGATGTGTGTGGAGGGAGTACGAGACGGTAGGAGTTGTCTTCGAGTGTGGGGAAAAGTCATAATGAGTGTTATACTATTGATTGGTTCTGTAAGGCGTGGCAATAGCGGTGAACGCTACAATATGAACAGGCTCGTGCTTGGCCCACTGGTATTGTTTGTTTATTTATTTTTGAAAATTAACTAGCAACACCGTGCTGTCATATAGCAACTGCTAAGCTACTGCAGCAAAAAAATCTAGCGCTAGCATTGGCTTCTGGTGGAATATATACTGCCGTTATCAATACAACATTGAACTCCCTCGGAAGGTATCTAGGTCGGCATTTAACTGTCATAATTTCTAGGATCGGGGAACAGTGGTTACTCACACTGATTTTGTTTGTGCCCCAAGAATCCTTAGTGTATATAATGAGGCCACCACCTCGCGTTTTCCCCGACAATTCTCGGGTCCTGTCTATGGGAGGTGCGGCCAGCTAGCTCGATAGCTAAGTCCGGGATGGATGGATGGATGGAGCCAGGTTTCTGTGGCTATTAGCACGCAGCTGTCCTTCACAGTCCTGTTTGTTGCAACCTGTAGTCTCAGTTCGTCCATCTTGTTAGCGAGAGATCTTGCATTTGTTAAAAAGATACTTGGTAACGGTGGTTTGTCCGGGCGGTTCCTTAGCCTCTCCAGCAGGCCGGCTCTGCATCCCCGCTTTTGTTTACGTTCCTTTCTCCGTCTGCGACGCTTAGTTCCGGGAATAGTGAATCATGGGTCTCCGGGATTCCTGGCGATTTCCGATAGGATGTTGTTTTCGCGGATAAACGCGTCTGTAACGGCGCTTCCACTGAGTAATCCGATTTCTAGCAAATCGTGTCTGCTGAAGATGTTATTTGCCCAGCATGATGTTAACAAAAGTGAAAAAAAGATATACAGATAAACATGAAATAACATTAAAAAGGCACTAGACTTGAGTCCTAAAGCCGCTGCGACTGGTCGCAATACTTAACTCGATAGCATGTCTGCATGTAAGGGAGGAAACTTATACAAAATGTACACCACCCCAAATTGAACAGGTTGTTGATAGTGCTACAGATGCACTGCGAATAAAATTAGACTCTGTTGCTCCTTTGAAAAAGAAGAATATAAAACAACATGGACTAGCTCCATGGCATAATGCCGAAACCCGCAAAATAAAGCAAAAGTCGAGACAACTTGAAAGGATATGGCGTTCCACTAAACTTGAAGAATCTCGTTTAATTTGGCATATTACTCTCAATGAATATAAGAAAGCACTGCGTAAAGCGAGAGCAGCTTACTACTCTTCATTAATAGATGAGAATAAGAATAATGCAAGATTTCTTAACGATAAAATTGTTACTCTTAGAAACAAAATTAATGACCTCTTGCCTTTGACCAGTATAGTGTTATCAACAGTTCCCGGAAACGTAAGTTCTAATATTACACTAGATAGTAAACTAGAATGCTTTTCAGCCATAAACCTTGAACAATTAAATTCAATGATTCTCTCTTCTAAACCATCAACGTGCATGTTAGACCCAATTCCAACTAAGCTGTTGAAGGAAGTTTTTCCATTAATTAGCACTTCTTTATTAAATATTATGAATATGTCTTTATTATCAGGCTATGTTCCACAATCATTCAAAGTAGCAGTGATAAAACCGCTTCTTAAAAAGCACAACCTCGATCCAGAGGTTTTAGCCAACTATAGACCTATTTCTAATCTTCCGTTCCTCTCAAAAATTCTTGAGAAAGCAGTCGCAAAACAGTTGTGTGATTACTTAAAAAACAATGACTTATTTGAAGATTTTCAGTCTGGCTTTAGAACACATCATAGCACAGAGACAGCTCTGGTTAATGTCACAATTCTCAGTGATGCAAATTATACCTCATTCACACCAACGGTGTTTCAGGGCCGGTTCGGAGCTGGAGCTTGAAAAGCACCGGGTTTTCCTGTTCACACCGCAGCGGAGCAGCCTCTTAGCTCCGGAATCCGGTTCTATTTCGTATATGGCTTCGCCCTCTAAGGCTATCGCTATTGGGTAATCCCCCTGCGCCCCTGCGTAGCACTGAAAACTTGTAGTCCACGCCCACCTGCAAGGGGGGCCCCACCCTCGGGCCTCCTTCCGGTATAAATAGGAAGGAGGCCCGGCAATCTGCTCCCTCTTTTCTTCAGCAAACCAGCACAGTTCTGAAGCACAGCAATTGAGAATCATCATGAGCAACAACTGCGTCCGTGATTGTCCCTCATGTGGTTCTGGGTTCATAATGAATTATGACCAGCAGAGATAAAAGGCGGAAGCAGGCGTCTGTTACAGAGACGGCCAGAAAAGTGCGACTGGACGCTCCAATCAGCCCGGACGGGCTGTTCGGACCCCAGTTCCACGCCATGGTGGAGTCCATGAAGACGGCCGCGGAACAGGCGGACGGCATTCGCCAGCATTTACAGCTGGCTCCAGCCTGCTGAGCGCCCACAGGCACCAACGCTCGCAGCAGCTGCGGCGTCCGCGGAGAGACGCCCACAGCAACCGCCTCGGCATCAGACTCGCCCTTCGGCGGCTGCAGGGGCTCCGTCCCACGTCTCCGCTCCCCCACCACCCCAGAGACAGGGTCTCCCGGCGACGAGTCAAAGGGGAGTGAGGCTCCCCCGCTCCTGGAGAGCCTCCGAGGAAGCAGAGCCGGTAATTAAGCCAGCTGCCACTAATCTGTTGATTAAGTAGACAGCAGGGCTCCCTGCAGAAGCCTGCTGGTTTCAACCTATCGGTTAATAACCTGCAGAGCTCGCAGCATTCCTCTGTCCGAGATACGCCTCGTACACACGGTCATAATAACCCATGAGCGCCGTTATAACGCCTCATGTGGACAGCACTGCGCACACCTCCACTCATCCCCTGAGCGTGTACACGCCTCATGATGACAGCCGGAGTAAAACGCAGCATGTGGAGGCTTCCTCGCAGCCCTTTCGCCTCACGGGTAGCGGCGGCGAGGGCAATGGCGTGGCTCGTCACCATGACGACCATTACAGGCACGGCGTCAGCGCTCGCTGCAGAAGCCTGCTGGGTTTAACCTATCGGTTAATTAACTGCAGAGCTCGCTAATTAAGCCGGCTGTCACTAATCTGTTCATTAAGTAGACAGCAGGGCTCGCGGCAGAAGCCTACCGGTTTTAACCTCAGTTAATAACCTGCAGAGCTCGCGGCATTCCTCTGTCCGAGATACGCCTCCTACACACGGTCATAAAAAACCCATGAGCGCCGTTATAACGCCTCGTGTGGACAGCACTGCACACACCTCCATCCATCCCCTGAGCGTGTACGTGCCTCATGATGAGAGCCGGAGTGATACGCAGCGTGTGGAGGCCCCCGCGCAGCCCTTTCGGTCCAAGCACACTTGGGTTGCCTCAAGGGCAGCGCAGGAATGCATACTTCCACGTACCCATCATCCCGAAACACAGGAAATAGCGTTTGGATATTTCCTGGCTCCTCGCATTTTTTGTGTATAGAAGGCTGGAGCCACTACACAGAGGAGGGATGAGTGTGTTTTCCTCTGGACGACCTGCTATTTGCTGGCTCGCTCCAGGGAGGAAGTCGCTTTACAGACTTTACATTCGTATCGCATCTGTCAAAGCCTGGGTTTCATAATGAATTGGAAGAAAAGCTGTCCTCTTCCCTCTCAGACAATCGTTTATCTGATAGTGGAATTAAACTCAGCCAGCAGCAGAGCGCGGCTCTCGCGGCAGTGAGTGGAGAAACTGACAGCTCTCCTTAGTAGAGGAACAAACCCCCAAAAAAGGCTTTAGTTATCGAGATAACCAGCCCCTAACAGGTTGCTAGTGCAGCAAGGTCTTCAAACTGACAAATAGAATGGGCCCTATAGGTGTAAATGGATGAACGAAAGGACACAGACCATAGATTAAGGCAAAAAACTAGATCTAATATAATTATTTGTATATAATATATATAATAATAAACCCATCTTTATCATTCTTAATGCATTTATCTTTATATTTAGTTATATTTTAGTTATGTATTTAGTTATCATATCAAGATGCTGATTAGACAGCATGATTATTGCACAGGTGTGCCTTAGAATGGCCATAATAAAAGGCCACTCTGAAACGTGCAGTTTTGCTTTATTGGGGGGGTCTGGGGGGGTCCGAAAACCAGTCAGTATCTGGTGTGAGGGGTAGGGGTAGGGTTAGGGTTAGGGTAATGTTGTGAATCGAGTGGCCTGTGTTCGTCATCCATAACATACGCCTGCCCATACCATAACCCCACCACCACCATGGGCCACTCGATTCACAACATTACCCTAACCTAACCTAATCCCATCTTGATATGCCACACCTGTGAGGTGGGATGGATTATCTCGGCAAAGGAGAAGTGCTCACTATCACAGATTTTTTCAGATTTGTGAACAATATTTGAGAGAAATGGTTATTTTGTATATATAGAAAATGTTTTAGATCTTTGAGTTCATCTCATGAAAAATGGAAGCAAAAACAAAAGTGTTGCGTTTATATTTTTGTTCAGTGTATGTATGAGAACTGGAAATGTTTCACAGGCTTAGTCCTGTTTTCTACTGTGACTGTTGCCATTATTTTTATCTTATGTGATTCCATTGACCACCCAGACTCCACTCCCCCGCCAGATGAATCCGTAACTAGGGTCAAACGGGCCACATATGAGGTAGTAGTTACCCCAATGTCTCCTAAACGAACCTTCACTTTCCAAGCAGGTAGTGATGGAATAGTACAAATTGACCTGTGCAGAATTCCCCCCTGCAGAAACCTCGACAGGACCTATTCCTACCTAGCCAAATACGTCTGCTTAGCCCCTGCGGTATGTAACAGAAGCATCAAAGATATGGTCAAAGGCGGTCCTTACACTTACAGAGGCAGTACATACTATTCCAAAGGCGACCCTTATGTGTCCGTCACATACACCTACGATTGCTCCTGCGAGTCCTGGTCCAGTGTCCTAGCAAATTCGGGTCCTGATGACTGGGGATACATGCCATCTTACCGATCGGCGGAAATTGTTAGATCCCTCAAATATAGAGTGAACGTGGTTAGGAGAAACCCAGGCGTTCCGTGCTCCGCCAGGTTTTGTAATCCGGTACTCATAACGATAAAGAATGTCGTGCTCTCCGACGCTGGACTTTATGTCCTCGCGGTACATGCAGGAAAGGGTTCGCCACAAGGCCTCTTCGAAATTAAAGTTACACCAAAGATAGAGCAAAACCTTCCTCATGCAGCATCTAATGTTAAATACCTGTCTAAAATCACATGTACGGATAAATGTACGGGGGATTATAGCCAACTTCAACCCCTAGACGCCATCCAAATGGCCACAGGATACACAGATGACAATCTATGGTTAAAATGGGTTGCCCGAACAGCCCAAGAACAAATGGCAGGGGATTACCTAGCCTGAGCTACGGCCCGCCCGCAATTAGTCACTGACCCTGCGCCCCTGTTTCCCACGGATACCTGGGGTTACGACTGTATGTTACAACTTACCAAGATGGCTAGTCCTCCTAACTGTGCCACCCTAGCCAATGTTTTCCCTCCAATTGATAATGATACTAGGACAGGCCTATTCACGCCTAGCAGAGGCGTCGGTGGGTACACATGTTTCGCCATGGTCCAAGAATCTCCACATTTTGACCTAGGAAATGTCTCTAGGGATTGGTGTAACCATACCGTGTCTAGCACTAGTATAGGACATATAGGCCAGGGCTGGTCTATACTATTATTGTGGGGGCCACCGCCTGTTCACCCGTATCCCCGAACTATCTGTAGGATTGTGTGCTATGGTGCGCCTCCATGCACCCCTAATGTTACTAGGTGAAAAACTGGTGCCCACGGACCCTAAAGCCTCCCTCAACACCAACCTAATTA